AAAATGAAAATATTAATAATTTAGTCTAGTTTTTAGTTAAACAGAACTACGTTTCGCATCATCCTTTGTGGCAGCACAACAATAAATATTACATTTTAAATCATTAATAATAATACATTTGAAATATTATTTTTTATGATGAATTGCTAGTGATATTCCTCATTTGTAAGTTTCTGCTAAATGTAAATAAATAAATAGATTATGCATTTATTGCACATCCTTTGCTTTTTATGTACTTGCACTAGACTAAACAATCAGCCTTTGCTGGAAAGTGAAAATGGGAGAAATAACTATGAAATTGTCCAAAGCGCCCATTTAATTCTGACCGCAATCACTTGAGCACACATCACATCATAATTACGATTTCCAAACTCTTAAGTAGGCACTTTCCAGGAGAACTTGAAGGCAGTAGATGTAATATAAAATATAAATATAAATTCAGGTTGCTGGTTTTCATTAGGTTGCATCCTAATATGCAGAAAGGTGAGAAACATCAGTAAAATATTTTGAATCTGGGTTCTAGTTTGTGTGCTTATTTTTTGTATTTATCCGAGGCAAACACTCATCGGGGCACGACACATGCCCGTGGCACATCCATAATGCACCCACCCACAGTTGAGATCAAGTGAATATCCCTGAGCATCAGCTCAGAGGGTCCCGGGGCTGATGGTCCACCCCTTCGGGACACCCACCTGCAGTGGGGTTAAGTTAGTGTGGGAAAGGCAAAGCTGAACCTCATGCTCTCTTTCGCCCTTGCTTGTTTGTTTTACAGCAGAGCAGGCCAGCTCTGCTGAGAACTTGTTTGTTTGTGGTTTAGAAGTTAATTAAAGCGCAGTCTGGATTTTTGTTTTTACAGTTGCCTTGAATGGGCCGCTTTCCCCCCACAGAATCTGCTCGGTAAATGGGCAGAAAATGTGACTATGATTATCCTGTTTATGTGAACTGTAAACGGCTGCGAGAGAGTCAGAGCGAGGAAGAGGGAGTGGAATTATTCACAGTTCAGAAGCGGCTGGGGAGATGGATATATCTACGCTTCTGCCCTAGAGTGTTTTCGCTTTATAATAAAAACAATAATAATAATAATAATTGTACGTGCATGTTTTCATAAATGCATAAATATTAGACAAGAATATCTCAATTTAATCTATTAGGAATTGAACATTTAGTTCTCAAACTGTGTTTTTAAAACGTTCTACTCAGATTCACCCTTTTTATTTGCAAATTTTTTTAAACTACTTTTTAAATTTTAAACTAAACAAAATTTCTTGAAATTACAATTGAGCATTCAAATAAATAATTACATCATGCATGCAATAAGAAAATCTTTTTTTTCCGCGGCACGCCGTGCCAAATGAGCGCACGGACAATGCTATTCCCTGTATCTCTGGACAAGGTAAAGCAAGAGGCTTCAAACAGACCAAACCTCCTCTGATTTCTCAAGGGCTTGTTATTTTTTACTTCTCAATTCTATTTGATGTCCTGACAAAACAAGATGACACTTGGGAACTGGCATTAAAATTTGATTTTCTTTTTTCCTGCCCTCTTTTTCTTTCTTTCTTTCTTTCTTTGCAACCTCTTTCCGTGCGGCCAGTTCAATGTACGGGATGCTCTGATTGAAGTTGCCCCCCTTCACTCTTCATCTTAATTGCCTATCTCTCTTTCCCTCTCTCTCTCATTCTCTCTGTGCATGACATTTTGCTCTCTCAGGAAGAATGCGTTCTTCATTAAGTCAGTATCAGTGTTTCTGAGGTTCGTCAGATTTGTGTCAGATGTTTCCTCGTTAGAGCTGTATTTTTGGATGCCGTTTCCTTCTTATAGTCATACTGAAGACGAGCTGGACGGTGGATTTGACCGCTAGGCTCAAATGAGCTGGGTCCGCAGCTGCGTCCAGTATGCTTGATCTCCCAGCTGGCACCATTCTGTTGTTGTATATATTGAGATTCAACACCTTCAAGTTAAATCATATTTTAATGATTAATTTTTATGCCCATTTATGTTGGCAGTTTTATGTGTGATTGAAAAGGCAAAGTGATTAACAGATGTATTTTGCATAATTATTATTTTTTATTTTGTTTTTGTATTTCTTTGTCTTTAAAAATCTTTTTTAAAAATTAAAAAAATATATATGCTCGACTTAAATGTTTGACTTTTTTTTTTTACATTTAACAATATCTTGACGTTTTTGATATTTAGTGTGAGGCTTATTATTATTTTTTGCACATTGCAGATGTTTGCATGTGTTGGCATGTAAATGTTGAGTGTACAGCATATGATGTGTGTGTGTGTGCGTATGTGTGCGTGCGTGTGTGTGTTTTGGGTAGGGCCAGTGGACAGCAGGCCTGCGCTAGCACATTGCCTACAGTCACATAGCAGCTGTTTGTGTATGTTACAGTTTCCGAATGTGTGTGTGTGTGTTAATGTGCTACACTCACACCTGGCCTACACCTCTCCTTAGCTAAATTCATAACCATCAGCTTTCTCCAGTTTGCTCACTTTCCTCCTCTCCTAACAATTCTTTCTTTTTCTGTGCAAACCATTCTTGTGCTTTTTAAAACTGTCCAAATGACAGCTGAAATATGCATTCATAAAATTCCTTGTATCTCGTTTAACCAGATACCTGCTTTATCTCAGCGCTTTCATCATGAGACTGCTTGAAAAATGTATTTGTTCTTTCCTCACCTCTTATCAAGCGATATGTCCGTTTACCGCAATACATAATAATAATTTCATTTTGCACACTTCCACAATTACGGCCAGAGGAGAAGAGCGAACAGCTCTGAGCAGTAAGCAGCGGTATCCCTCACTCCTCTTAAGTGCTGCTGATATAGTGACCAGGATGATATTTTTCAGCTGAAGTGCTTCTCTTCTGCGGCAGGCCTGTCTTAAAGTGATTCCAGCTCATTCACCAGCGGATTAAATGCTAGTAGTTACAATGATCAATAGGTTAAGAGGAGGCCCATCCCTCTCCCCACTAATGACCTCAGTGGTAATGGGCAGTAAAATGTGAGCTGTAATAGCCTTTCCGCTAGGGCTGAGGTTTGGTAGAAGTGGACACACACACATACACACATTCGTGCAGTAAATGAGGGTGTGAAGTTGATGTCACTGTGTCTGTAAGGTGTGGATTTAAAGGGTTTAATTGGAACAGGCTGGCGTTGTGATTTGTCATGGCGCGAGAAGTTAGTACATTTTAGTTATTTATTTTGCAACGCATTTACCTTTATGACAAATGTTTTAAAGTCTTTATTTGGTAGTTGGAACTGTTATAAAATCTATTTTAAAAAGTTGCTTGGTTTTAAGAATGGTTCCAACCTTTACAAATTATATTTTAAAACACAAATTAGTAAAAATGTTTTGTATGTTAGTAAAAAAAAAGTTTCTTTTTTTTTTGTATGGTAATTTCTTTACAGGATCAAAGGAAGCAAAGTTTCCTTACTTTAGCAAAGGAAAACCAGTCTCCTCTTGGCTTATATCGAAATCCTCTGTCATCCTTCTTTACAAATCCTCATTTTGTACTTCTAAGAAGTGACCGTTGTTTTGTTTTGATCTCCTCTGCGCTTCTGCATTCATCACTTCTGAGCATGCATAATGACTGTGAAATGAAGAAATCAAGGGGTGCAGCCTATGCAAATGGTGCGCTAAGTCATGTGAAAAATGGGTCGCATATTAAGACGTAACACCCGCGTGTTGGGATGCGTGCGTGTGTTTTACTTTGATCCGAGCACCACATATCCATTTTGGTGATGAGTTTATAACACATTCAACCCTTTCTTTGTAAAATTGTGTGCATTTAGGAAGTTCTTTAAAGCTTTTCTGTTTTTTATTGTTATATTTAGTGTGGGGTGAAATAGGTGGAGACAATGTGGAGGTTAACCCCGGTCCTTACAGAGAGAACAGACTCAATTACATTCATCAAGACGGGAGTAATTCAAATGCGTGTCAGCGGTTCTGAATCAGATGCAATTGGGGTAACCTTGGTGAAGGGAGACTGTCGCCCTAATGTCTGGCCAATCAGGAGCAGATGTGTGACATACATCTGCGATCTCGCACACGCTTGCTAAAACACGCTGGGGATATGTTAACAGTTGCAAATGCCCGCCGCTATCAAGTTCAGCACAGACGTGGTTTGTCACCCAATGTCACAAAGGAGATTTTAATGACGTGGAGTATCTGACACTGAGACACACACATATACTGTATTCACGCAGCCTCTCCTCTAATTAAAGACCCCTGTCAACAGCACGAGGACCCTCTCAATGTCCTCACACCTCATTTTACTTTCCGGCCACAATATGTTTATCCTTTTTATTCTGCTTGAGCTTGTTTGAATGCCCTTTAATGTGTGTTTTGATATATTTATTTAGAGAGGGACTGTTTTTTTCCATACTCATGTTTGACACAATTGTTTTTGACGAACTAACAAAGAACACAGTCGACAGCACATCCTGCATTGATTCGTGTTAATTGATATTCACCGATTTTAAGTTTATGTACACAATGTTATGGTACACCGAGAGAGTTGTGACCCATTTTAGTGAAGTATCGCAGGGACAAGACGCTTCACACTGATGAAAGGGGGGGCAATCATAAAAAAAAAGAAAATACAAAACGTATTCACACAGTCACATGCAAAACATGGACAGCACTCCAGAATAATGGCCAGTGGCCTTGTCAGTGGAGTGGGACGTTTGATGATGGGGACGTTCTGTGGTTGTTCGAGTGTGTTTGTGTTTGTGTGTGTGGTGTTGGTGTTGGTGTTTCTCTTTGTATCTTTCAGTCTCCCATCAGTCAACACAGCTTTGGCTTCTCGTATCACTGGTTCTGAAAGCTCCTCAGGTGGTTTTAGAGAAACAGATCTTGATCTCATAGCACATTCATCTGGTGACAGGTTACTGACAGGACATGTGATATGTTATCTTTAGTGTATGTATTGTGAGTATTGTGTGATTATCCAATTGTCATTGTATTCATATGTCTGTCCTCTTCCTGTGTTTGTGTAGGTCCCAGTTTCTGTTGCTATGATGACACCACAGGTCATAACTCCTCAGCAGATGCAGCAACTCCTCCAACACCAAGTTCTGAGCCCACAGCAGCTCCAGCTGTTACTGCAGCAACAACAAGCACTGATGTTACAGCAGGTACGCACTCTTGTTCTGTTTCAGAGCATATACATTTCTTCTGTTCAAATATTACTCAGGCTTTGGCAAACAAACAACAAGCCATTGGGGGTCTGTGTGTCACAATGGGCACAACGTGAAGTGGAGTTCAATAAATAAATTAGTAAAAAAATTAATGAATAGTCTGAATAAATAATTTGGAATAGATTACGATGTTATATGTTATAGTCATAATGTAATTTATAATCTTATAAATTAGCAATAACAGTAATACTATGAAAAATGTTGCTGGTATTAATAACATTAATTTTTAATTAGATAATTTAGATAATTATCATAATATAATTTTTATAATTATTGTTATTATTATTATTAATATCATCATCATAATAATACAATAAAAATGAATACAGCAGGTAATATAGTCTGGTAGTCTCGTAGCAACATGTCAGGTATATTTCAACACAGTTTTGTACTGTTATTATTATTATCACAATAATAAAATAATACAACATGTAAATATAGTCTGTTCGTCTTGTCTAGTTAGTTTTAACATGACTTGTATATTTCAGCTGGAAATCAGATTTTAGAGCTAGAACTATTATTTATCATTACAAGTATTTAATTGCCAAAAGCATGCCCTACAAACAGTTCATTTCTTTTTCATTGCATTGAGCATACAGTACATCCCTCTCTTTCATCTGTTTTAACTGTTGCTCAGTCTATATGACCAACAAATAGGCTGACATTTTTTTCTTGTATTACAAGAATTAAAAATATTCTAATGAAACAACATGTACAATTCTATGGTAAATCTGTGACACATGACTCAAAGAATTCCACACATTCTGATTATGAACAACTCTGACTGTAGGTTGTTCCTGATTCTCAGGAAATTTTTGGTTTTGAAATGAGAGTGAAGGCTCTATAGACAAACTTGCAGATGTTCACAGTGCAAAACTTCTGTTCGTAGTCAAACCAGTTTAGAAATAAATGTATAAGTATTATTATGCCACATATTTAATATAGAAGAATTTAGGTAATGTACTGTGGCAAAATGTCTTAATTCTAAGGATCAGAGTGGGGGGAAATAATAAAACATAACGTGGTGTCTTTAGTTTATGACTCTGTGATTTTGCAGCAGCAACTCCAGGAGTTCTACAAGAAACAGCAAGAACAACTCCACCTTCAGCTCATCCAGCAGCAGCATGGCAGCAAACATCAGAGTAAAGAGGTATGCTGACTGTATTACTTTACACATACGCTCAGCCCTGGTGTTCATTACCTACCCCCAGTGCATCCAGCAGCTGTTTCCCACCAGCAGAAGTACAAAAGCTAAACCATTTCAGCACCTCTGTGTCATCTTATTTTGAATTTTAACAATGGGAAGAACCCTTTCCCGCTCTTCTATTTCTACACCAGCAATAATCTTTTTCTGTTTAATTAGATTTTCTGTTCTAAACAGTTGTGAGATAAAATGTATTTCTGTGATGTTGCCCCTCCAATATAATCTACTTTTTCCAGAATACATTTTTTCCTTCTTTTGGAAGGAAGTCATGTGGAAGAGGATTAGGGCCAAGCAATAAAAAAAACATATCGAGATTAAAGTCATTATAATGCGAGATTAAACTCGTTAAATTTCAAGAAAAATGTCTAAATAAAATGTTGAGAATAAACTCATTAAATTACGACAATAAAGTTGAAATAAAATGCTGAGAATAAACACATTCGTGTCATGTTCAGTGTTACTCAACTTTGCAGTGGTGCAGGTCGTAGAGAGTAATGCTCGCGTATGTGGTCGACCAGAGTTTGTTTCCGCCTTTTGCCAAACTCGCTCTTCTTCCTTTTTTCATCACATATCGCATCGGATGCTATTTACATTAAGTGAAAATAGTGATATATTCTATTTACTCTTAAGTGACAACAGCAGCATTTTTAGTGATGTGCTATTTACACGAAGTGAAAATAGTAATTCTATTTACGCTATGTAACAGTAGCAGATCTTTGCAATAAGTGTAAATAGTAATTAGATGCTATTTATACTTATAAATAGAGAAAGATACTATTTGCACCTCAGTATTGTTGTACATTAACAGGATGCAATAATAACATTGAGTGTAAATGATTTTATGTATTTAAATTATTAAATAGATGCTGCCTTACTGGTAAAAAGCCTTCCCTATAGCCTACTAAACCTACCCAATTAATACATCATTATTAAACACTCGTTAGGCAATTGATTTCCACTTTTGTGATGTGATATGTGATGAAAAAACAAAGAAGAGTGAGTTCGCAAAATGCGGATTCGGACTCTGGTCAACAGCATAGGCTTCATCCACGAGCATTGCTCCCTACGACCTGCGCCACTGCGAACGCTGATCAACACTGTCCAATGAGATAAAATGAACATGACACAAATGTGTTTATTCGCTGTATTTTATTTCGACTTTTTTTCTCGAAATTTCAAGTTTTTTCTCGAAACACGACGACTTTATTCTCGATATTTAATGAGTTTATTCTCAACATTTTATTTCGAAATTTTTCTCAAAATTTAACAAGTTCAATTTCGCATTATAATGACTTTAATCTCAAGATGGTTTTATTTATTTTTTATTATTGTTTGTCCCTAATCCTCTTCCGTACTTACGTTTGCCAAGGCAGCATTTATTTGACCAAAAAATCTAAATTACAGTAAAAGCAGTGATATTATGAAATATTATTAAAATTTTTAAATGTAATTTATTCCTGTGATGGCAAAGCTGAATTTTCAGCAGTCATTATTCCAGTCTTTAGTATCACATGATCCTTCAGAAATCATTAAAAAAAAATTGGAGTTCAAAAGAACAGATTTTTTTAATTGGAAAAAGTCTTAACTGTAACTGTATCAGTTTAATGCACACTTACTGTATAAAAGTATTGATTGCTTTAAAAAAAATCTCCCTGACCAAAACTTTTGTGAAGAGTAGTATATGTTTCAATTGATTGTCACATTCCATGTTAAAGGGGTCATAGGATGCCCATTTTTCACAAGTTGATATGATTCTTTAGATTCTTAATGAAAAGTCTGTAACATAGTTTGGTTAAAAGTTCCCAATGGTAGTGTAAAAAACAAATTTTTTACCCTGTCAAAAACAGCTCTTTTCAGATCAAGCCGTTTTTGTAGCATTTTTCTTAAAATGTTAATGAGCTCTGCTGCCCCCGCCCCTCTCTTCCGAGCTGCTCTCTGAGGGACTGTTTACTTTAGCCGCATTCGCGTGAAACTTGCTAGTTAGTACATTATTAGGAAAGGCGATTTGCAAAGATTCATTACAAAACATTATACTCACTTCTTCTGTAGATTAGGCTGGATCATGAATGATTCGTGCGAACAGACGCATTTAGGCAGATTGGGGAGCATTCCCTTCAAAAACAAACGTAATCCACTGCAAGTTCAGCGGCTCAGATGTCGGGAGTAAATGACGACTGCTATGTTCATTATTACATCCAACAACAGAACACCTCAATTGCTTATTAGGAGACATTCTTGTCTACATCTGCTCCAGCTGTGAAACAATGGCGGACTGATGACAGCTCACTCAGGGCAGGTCTAAGGTAAGACGCCAGTCCAGTCTGTGCTGAAACGCTTTTTTAACCTGTCAAAAACGTCTCTTTTCAGATCATTTTTGTAGCATTTTCCTTTAAATGCTAATGAGCTCTGCTGACCCCGCCCCTCTCTTCCGAGCTGCTCTCTGAGGGACTGTTTACTTTAGCCGCATTCGCGTGAAACTTGCTAGTTAGTACATTATTAGGAAAGGCGATTTGCAAAGATTCATTACAAAACATTATACTCACTTCTTCTGTAGATTAGGCTGGATCATGAATGATTCGTGCGAACAGACGCATTTAGGCAGATTGGGGAGCATTCCCTTCAAAAACAAACGTAATCCACTGCAAGTTCAGCGGCTCAGATGTCGGGAGTAAATGACGACTGCTATGTTCATTATTACATCCAACAACAGAACACCTCAATTGCTTATTAGGAGACATTCTTGTCTACATCTGCTCCAGCTGTGAAACAATGGCGGACTGATGACAGCTCACTCAGGGCAGGTCTAAGGTAAGACGCCAGTCCAGTCTGTGCTGAAACGCTACTGTCAATCAAACTATCGTGGGAGGGGCATCTGAGATCGGCTCGATTTGAGAAAGGGGTAAAGATTTTAGTAGATTAACAAAAAAACACTGGGTGGATTTTTATCATTTTAGGGTGGTTGTGTACACACACTGCCAACAAACATTTCAGTTCAAACAACTTGTAAAAGTGCATGTAGCATCCTATGACCCCTTTAAGCATCAATTGAGTATGTATTTGGTGGGGGAAATCTGTGTGGTTTTGTCACAGTAAAATGTATTAAATCAATCTAAAAGTACAGTCTTATTTGCGAAAATATTTAATAAACAAATATTTGTGATTCAACAAGAAATCGGTGCGCAGAATCCATATAGATCCTTTTATGAGCACTCTGTGTATTTATATTTATGTGTTCAATATGACCAGATTGAATGGTACATGAGGTTTCCCCATTGACAGAAATATGGCACAGTTGTAGTATATCTGAAGTGTTCTACCTCTTTGTCTTTCTCTGTCTTCTTTCATTTTAAGACTGTATCACCAGCTGTGTTTCTGGCTGCTCTAATGACAGCAGGATATGGCAATGCTCTGGACAAAAGAAGCGATTATTGCGCGGTCAAAAGCAGTTCAAAGACAATCAGAGTTTCACTTTTTAACTTCCCCACCGAGAGCTTATAAATGAAGGCGAACTTTATAAAACACACACACATACGCATACACATGTTCTCACATGCTTACTTCAAAGTCCCCCAGCTCGCTAATTAATGAACTGGGGGCTTCAGTTTGGACAAGTTGTGGTGTGTTGCCTCCATAAATCAATGAGACAGGACTGTTTCTCTTGCCTCTGACAGAAGCTGTCACTCTTACTCCCTTTCTATCTCTCTCTTTCGCTCTCTCTCATGTTAGAAGGACAGTCGAGGGGAAGGGGACTCTAAAATGGGAGGGGGGTTGAAAGAGAGAGGGTGGCACCATCAAAAAAAACAATTGATCAGCTGAATGAAACGTGACGAACAGGAAGAAAAACACCATATTAAAGAGTATTATGTATGATCACAGGAATTTGATGCAGCCCTCAAGAGGCTCTCCTCCGTCTGCGCGTGTTTTTCTCTCTCTCGCGCACGCTCCCTTTCTCCCCCTCCTTCGGCTTTCTCTCGTGTAGTCATCAAAAGATGGAATACGAATTGTTGCAGCGACTTCTCCCACGGGGGTCAGACAATAACCCCCCGCTGCTGCTTTGTGCCTCTTTTATTTAAAAGACAACAAAATGTCTTAGGTTTTCAAAGATTTTTAACTTTGTATTGGAGAAGAGGCTATAAAAGGGCCTGCCAGCGTCAGTCTGGATCATGTTGTCAACCTCTCTGTTCTTGCCTCTCTCGCGTGCCACTCCGAGTTAACCTCCCGTTCGCAAGCCGGGCCAGCGTTAACACTTAGGTTAACACTTGTGTGCCAAGAAAGATCTAGAGTGGCCCAGGCTTTCCTTCATGGGGACATACAGATGAAAATAAACACACTTTATAATGCGGTTCAGTTTATTAACATGCAATTTTTATCACAAACTAATACTCGAATACAGTCCAATCAAATCCCAAATGAAATCAATTGACATAGTTTTTTATTTTGTGTCATGTAGTTTTGAGCCTTTTAAAGTTAAAGGTAGATGATATCTCTTACATAATTTTATTTGAAAACAGTATTTTACAGAAAAGTCAGCATGGTGTTTTCTGTCAATTTTCATGGAATTTTTGCTTTTAATTGTCCTGATAATGAAAGAGAAGACAAGGGTAATGTGATCAGGACATGACCTGGAACTGAACCTGCTTCTCTGTGGGAGCATCACAGCATGCATATGTTGCACTACCACTGCGCTAACCATTGACATTAAAGGGATAGTTCACCCAAAAATTTGATGTTTATCTGCTTACCATCCAAGATGTAGGTGACTTTGTTTCTTCAGTAGAACACATATGATGATTTTTAAGTCCAACCGTTGCAGTCTATCAGTCGTATAATGCATGGCAATGGTAACAATATCTATGAGAGTAAAAAAAACATGCACAGACAAATCCAAATTAAACCCTGCGGCTCGTGACGACACATTGATGTCCTAAGACACGAAATGATCGGTTTGTGCCAGAAACCGAACAGTATTTATATAATTTTTACCTCTAATACACCACTATGTCCAACTGTCTTTGGGCGTGCGCACGGCATCCGGTGCGTGAGGTGTGTACGCGCTCTGGCGTAGTTTACGTTAATGGGTGTGTTGATATCCAGCTGAAGAGCAATCAACCATAACTTCAGGCGAGCAGGCTCAGAAGTTGGGAATGTGTGGAAAGTCACCACTCCCGAATGAGTTTGGGCGAGAGAATGTAATCTTTTAGTTTTAAGTCTGTTTGAACAATCCGGATAAGTGCAAGTACCATTTTGATTAGCCGTCGTACCTACAATGACTGTGCACTGTGTAAACAATAAGTGACGTATACGCGCGAGAGATCACTTCCGGCGCTTGCGTAAACTACGCCAGAGCGCGTACACACCTCACGCACCGGATGTCGATACCAAAGACACTTGGACATAGTGGTGTATGAGAGGTCAAATATGATATAAATACTGTTCAGTTTCTGGCACAAACCGATCGTTTCGTGTCTTAGGACATCAATGTGTCATCACGAGCTGCAGGGTTTAATTTGGATTTGTCTGTGCATGTTTTTTTTTACTCTCATAGATTTCGTTACCATTGCCATGCATTATACGACTGATAGACTACAACGGTTAAAGTTAAAAATTATCACATGTGTTCTACTGAAGAAACAAAGTCACCTACATCTTGGATGCCCTGGGGGTAAGCAGATAAACATCAAATTTTCATTTTTGGGTGAACTATCCCTTTAAAGCATTTGAATGTCCAAAGCCTCGTGATCAGGGTTAGAGCGCGGAGAAAGAGAGAGAAAAAGAAACAGACCTTTGACAGGCAGATGAGGATGGGTGGACCCTGAATGAAAGAGAAAAAAAAGAGAGCGAGCACTTTATCAGGCTGTTTCAGATCTGTTCTGGGTCTAAAGGTTGACCTGCTCACGGCTGTGCTGCAATACCTTTTTTGTGCGCCTTCTGTTTGGAGAAGTAAACACAAAGTGAAGCATCCTGTGTTTGGGAAGAGGGTGCGGCACACAGCTTGGCAAAGCTAGTTTACACTTTAATGTACCAACAAACATGCGCAACACACTAACACGTGACCCTTGGGGTCCATTTATTTTACCTCTGGCCCTCAGAAACCTTCAGAGGAACCGTGCCTTGATTATGGCAGATGTTTAGCCATTGTTATGATGCATCAAGGAGGTCATAAACAACAGTATTAGCATAGAAAGAGGTCAACTGAAGGGTTCAATAGCCCTGCATCTCCAACACATCGTCCATTTGTTTTGACTGAGAGGTGATTGGGGATGTTAGGTAATTTCCTCCAATTTATCGTTCTGACAACGCAACAGTTCGTTCGCCCATTCCTCCCTCTTCTTCAGTCTTTCAACACCCTCTTCTCCCTATTTCCCTTCCACTTTTACTAACTCTCCCCCTTCTTCCTCTCAAAATTTCCCCAGTTCTATTCCACTTTCCTTTTTCTCGAAACTCCATTCCATTTGTCCAGATGTGAGTAAGTGATATATTACCGTCTTTCTCCAAAAGAAGACACTTAACACAAACTCCTTCAATGATATGATATACATTGCAATGCATGTCATGATTCAAAAATCAGTTCGTTCAATCAATTGTTAAACATTCCAACTAGATAAATTACATAAAGAAACTGTTATAATGTCAAATTCAATAAATGTGTTAAAAAGCATGTTTAAGGAATCTCACGCGTTAAGACATTAACATGTACTATGCCTAATGCGTGCATTAATGAATCCCAAAAATGAAATATATTTATGAAAAACATTAAAAATATGTTATGAAAATGAAATAAATATTAATATGTAAAACGTCAGTGCACTGAACCTTATTGTAAAGTGTTCCATTTTTTAACAGGTCAAGACATTAAATCAAATTTGACCCTGTTTATTTTATGCATAAATATTTTATGCACACTTCAAATTATAAAGAAAAAAAATCATAGCCTTGAATGAAAGTGTAATTTTCTCTAATTTTCTAAAAAAGATTTATCACAAAATATATAAAATTAACACACTGCTTAGCTCTCCTCCTATTGCATGGTTACCCTGTTACTTCACAGTCCTGATTTATCCAAAGGAGACAATTGGTTGGCTCTGCACTTACACGCTGCTGAATATTACAGAGCTCTTTTCAGTCACAGGTTGTTTGCGGAGTTATGAATGGCCATAATTAAAATCCTGTAGCTCTTATTAGGAATGATTAACAACATTTCATTATTTGTCATGAGCCTCCCTGACTCCTCGTTAATTAAGAGGTGACGCAAATGTGGGAATGTACCTGTCCATGCGTTTTTGTGTGTGTGTGTGTGTGTGTGTGTGTGTTTGTGTGTTTGTGTGTTTGCGTGTGTTTGTGTGTTTGTGTGTGTGTGTGTGTGTGTGTGTGTGTGTGTGTTTAGCAGCCCAGAGTGAATAAGTATGTTTGTGCACGTGTTGTCATAATTGTTTGTGAGTGTGCGGATGATATGTAGACCTCTCATCCTCTCTCCGTATCCCTCGGCAGGTGTCTGCGCAGCAGTTGGCGTTCCAGCAACAGCTGCTCCAGGTTCAGCAGCTCCAGCAACAGCATCTCCTGAGTCTGCAGAGACAAGGGCTGCTGTCCATTCAGCCCAACCAGACTCTGCCCCTGCACTCCCTCACTCAGGGTAAGCACAGACACATCCATCTCCCCTTAAGAGGATTTTCACACTGAGAGCAACAGAAATTGCTGACAACAACTGTATGAAAAGTTCAACAAAATTATTCACATGATTACAACATGAATTTTCATCAGCCTCCAAGAAAATATCACTTCTTATCACACTGCTTGCCTGATATGGCTTTTTTATGTTTCCCATACCTGGAGTAGGCTTTATTTTATTTTATTTATTTATTTATTATTTTTTGCTAAATTCAGGGGGTGGGCATTTAATGATAAAAAAGTCATATGAATACAAACATGAAAAGGAATTTTAAAAAATTGGGGGGTGGGCATCTTTTTTTAAACAAAGTTTTGCACTTAGTGTAGATTTTTGAACATTTTACAGATGCATGCAAAATTAGGGGAAATATTGTGCTTGGTGAGAATAGGCTTTTATGTGCTTTCTACATTATAGTTTCTGTTTTTTTTTTTTTTTAGAACCAGAAAATGTCTCCTACATTTCCACACGTCCATCACATATGCATACAGTATTTCTCTCTTTTAACTCTATTGTCTTATATTGGCTCCCCTTCAGCCCTAAACATACTAGCACCATTGTTTTCTAACTTCAACCCACTAAACTAGTCAAAGATTAATCACTTCACAAACAGTCAGTGAGTCAAAAAGGTGTTTTTCCAGGAGGTGTATTGCTTTATTTTCCTTGTCATATTTACTTAAGGAGCAGCAACAGAATGACAAAGACTGCATTCATACCGGTTTTGTTTTTGTTTCTTTCAAAAGCTGACTGTACTCTCTCCAGGCTAAGACAAACAAGCCCATAACAAGATAAGGCCGTATAAAGGCTGGGGAGTGGGTGCTTGGGTAACACGCAAATACAAACTGTGTTTGTTCAGTCTTGTTATTGTTTGATCAGGGCATAGTCGGGAAAGCTGAGCCACTCCACATACCCACGTTGCCCTGGGGCTGGGCGAGGCGATGCTTTACGATGCGAAGCCACAGGCTGGTGTCAGACAGGAGGCCATCTTAGTGAAGAATAATTTTTTTCTCCAACAAGTGATTGAATGACATCTCAGAGCAGTCGTTACCCAGGGAACATTGCAAGCATGCCAGGCCCATTCAGAGGACAGTAATGAAAAACGGGATAGGACACGTGCTGATTTTCTACTGCAGAACACGAGATATTGTATGCATATATAAGCGTGCTTGGCAGTGTAGATTATTTCCTAGTTTAGAACCTGGTTGTCTAATATTAGTTCAAGATAGTGGATATGCCTGATTGGGTAAATAGTTTTAGGATTTTAGAAACTTCTTTTATTAGCCACTCTTGCATTTTAATTTATTTTTGGACTCAATTTAGGCTTTTGTTTTCTTTATTCATCACTAGAATCAAATTAGTTTTTTCAAATGCACATCTTTGTGTTTAAGCAGTGCCATTTCTTGTCAAATGTCAGTCTGAGATGTGAGATGAGATGGCACTTTGGCTGGTAAATGTGGGCCCAAATTTGGCTGGAATGGGGGTTAATTTCATACCCTGATTAAAACACTTGTCATTGTGTGTGTGTGTGTGTGTGTCCTGCACATTTTCTGCTTCACTGTTAAAAGTTATTGATGACTTTTTTTTTCTTTCACACTCCACTGCATTCTTTCATGCTCCAGCAGCCCAGATTTCCTTTCGCAAGATGTAATCTACAACATTCAGTAGTTAACTAAGTAGTTAGTTTTGGTGTGATAACTTATGTTACCTTCTCATGTGTGTGTGGTGATTATGTGCTTGGGCAAGCTACTAAGGAAGATTACTCAGCCAGCGACATGGGCTGAAATGGGCTTATTTATTAGACCCTCTGACTTTGATGTTTGAATAAAATCTTTTTACATCACAGCTTTACATTTAATGTACAGGCACATCCAGTCATTTTCTACTAGATTTAAAAGACTGTTTACAAGTATGCAAGCTAGCTCTCTGGCATGGCGCAGACATCTGAGACTTCAATCAAAACAATGTGTTTTAGATCGTTGTATTTGAGGTTGGATCACTTTTTGGACTTTTTGACGTTAATGTTTTGGAGAGGGTCAACTGAAGTCTGCTATGAATTATAACAATGTGTTGGAGGAGATAAAAATCATAAACTGGGTCCAGTAAGAAAAAAAAACAGTGGACTTAGCAGTTTGAGTAATAGAGTGAGAAAATAAACAGAACAGATGAATATTCAAGAAATGCAGACAAGATGAGGCGTATTTGGTAGAGTTAAACTATTTCTCCTGTGCCGCGTACACATTGCAAACTTTTGGGAGTAACAACCATATTTAAATATGGTGTGAATCCTCTAAATAGTCATTCTGATCATTCCGAGTGTGAATGAAATACAGGTGTCACTCTGGATTTTATGATAGTTGGGACAAAAAAAGCTTATTTTTTTGTGTTTTTTGAGACTTATATGTAACAAAAAAAAGTATTTTTAGTGACTTGTTAATTATTTTATAATTATTTATTTTCAAATTTTGCACTTTCTTTACAAGTTTTTTTTTTATCACTTTCATTTACCTTTTGAGCATTTTGCTGAAATTTGGTGGAAAAAGAAAAATTCCGTAATGCGTCGAATTAATATCTGAAATTTTCTTGAGTAAATTACACTTGTGAAGATCTCACAAATACACAAAATAATGATCTTTAAAAAAGCATCATATGACCCCTTTAACAGAATTGAATTAGGCAGAAGAGGCCTGGTCGTCTGCATTGACGTGGCTGCCGCATGTGTGTTTGTCCCTCATCTTCCACATTATTAGCCCACTCTCATCTAAATCTGTGCCTTCCTACACACTCATTCTCATTCCCAGCCGCACATTAGTTAAGTTGTCCAGTCAAGGGCCACAGGACACCGACAAGACAAATTTGCCACTAATATGAAAGCAGTGAATGTGACCAGGCATGAAGCGCGATGTGCGCGCGGACCCATCAGGGGACTCCGGCCCCTCGTCCGGCTTCGCTGGCAGTGATTGATCAGCTGGCAGTACGGCACTGTTTAATAGCTTCTGTAGCATTAGGGAGGAACATATTTTAGGCCTAAGGGCTGCATATCAAAGGCCCTGGTGATCATAACCCCTTTAACAGGAGGGAGAGAAGATCTCTGCCTCACAGAACAATAAACTAATAGTAGTGTCAGTTTGCCCCCAGTGGCGCGGCGGCGGTTTGTCGAGGAAGACGAGGCTGCTTTCCGTGGTCCCTGCGCGGAAGACGGCATTTTTTATCAGGCTGCTGATGGGTCACAACTAATGTGGTTGTGAACCTTAAATCAACTTTCCGCTTGCTCGAACACGGTCACCAGGGTACCGGGGTACAAGGACAGAAAAAGGTTGAAGCACGAGTTCAGGGCCCCTGTCTGGGTGTTGCCGCTACCTGCTGCGGTAAAAATTGAGTTGCTTCGCCGGCGATCAGTCAAACGTCTCAATGACATCCATTTTTTAAAAGCGCAAGTGTGTATCTTTGGCTTTTAATGAGAGGATGTGCGGCGCTGAAAAATGACTTTAGGGCTGTTAAAGCGATCTGGAGTTTGCAAGACGGATTTAAGGACAAAGAACTGTTTTAATGCCATGTGTTATCTGCGAAACGTCACATCCATCATCTGCTACTAAATGACGATAATGCTGTGACGTTTGCCAGATTGGTTGAGAGGTCATGTGAAGATATATGCAGGCAATTTTGAGAGATACATCTGTGGGAAAGAGAGAGACGGGGGATGGAATCCAAGACTTAGAGCGAGATACAGACCTGCAGAGGAAAAAGGTTTATGGGGGTGTCAGACACAACAACACAGCTTTGTACCACTCTGTTAGCCCACTCATCAGCTCCCCCTCCTCCCTCTGGCTTGGATTCGTTTCAGTAAGCAGTGGTGTCGGGGTCACCTGGACTTGTGGGTAATTGAGGGAGAGTGGGCCGCCCTGTCAAACACGTCGGCTAAAAATACATCGCACACTGTCACTGCACTCCAAGTGGGGGGAAAATGATTGTTCCCCTCTATGTCCAAACCCAAAAACAATCACCAGCGTGTGACCTTCTTGAATCCACACGGACAAGTTTTTCCTCCCTCACAATGACAACAGCAAAGACAAAAAACAATCGGGTCGATATCTTTGGACATCGCCATCAGAGTTTCATGAGGATGTTAAAAACACTGCAAGATGGCACAAAAAAGCCCAAGGAAGCAACGTGGCACATGGGAAGGTTATGATTTGTCCTGCAATAATTTCCGCTGGCTCTTTTATATGCAAACGATCTTGTGTGAATTTATGGCAGTCCTACCAGACTCATTTCACAGTTTTTAGTCTCTCTCGCTCTGTCTCTTTGTCTCTCTCTCTCTCTGGAGTCTTAGCCGCCTCATTAGCTTACTGTTCTCCATTACTGGCATAATTAAAATCTTTAGTAGCTTATCAAATTAAAAATATTTTCTGCTGATCGTATTGAGATCTTCACCTCGCCGTTATTTTGTCACAACAGGAATAAATTAAGACTAAGCGATTCTTGCACAAATGTATTATGCCGGAGTGCTTGAAAGAGGCCACTTCTGGTATCTGTAAAGAGAATTATTATGAAGGAGAGAGTATGAGAGAGTGAGGGGGGGAGGGAAAACAAGGAGACGAATGAAGATAACCAAGACAAAAATTGCTCTCCATTTGCTTTCGCACATTTCGAAAATCGATTTAATTGTGATGTTAAGCGATTGATCCCCCACCGCCCAAAACAGCCCCTTCCCGTTTAATTTCACAGAACATACAAAGAACTTTGTAAAGTCACACAGTGCGTGTGTTCCATTCAGAGCTCCATTCGTATGCGCTGTTGCTGAAGGCAACATACATCTTTTTTTAGATTTGTCCAAATGCATGTATTTGTGTATATATATCTTTATATTATACAGTACTGCTCAAATGTTTGGGGTCACTAAGATTTTAGTCAAAGAAATTAATACTTTTATTCAGCAAGGACACATTCAATTGATCATAAGTGACAGTAAAGTGTCTGTTTCAAATAAATGCTGTTTTTTTAACTTTCAAGTCATCAAAGTATCCTGAAACAAAAGTATCACAGTTTCCACAAAAAATATTAAGCAGCACAACTGTTTTCAACATTGATGATAAGAAATGTTTCTTAAACACCAAATCAGCGTCTTAGAATGATTTCTGAAGATTTCATTACTGGAGTAATGACTGCTGAAAGTTCAGATTTTCCCTATATCACAATTTGATATTATTTTTGATCAAATAAACACAGCCCTGGTGAGCATAAGAGACTTCTTTCAAAACTTTAACAAATCTTACTGACCCCAAAGTATTACATGCATAGCATCATGTCATAATAATTAAATAAATACAAATGCTTCTGAATATGATAGAGGTTCTTTAAGAACATGGTTGCTCAAGTAGGCTAATTTCATTGTTAGCTCTTCTAATTCTCATCCTGGTAGTGCTAGTCTTAGAGTCAGCTAGATGAAACACGTGGCATATGTGGGTGTGCATGTAAGTGTTTGTGTGCGTCTGTCACAGAATTGAGGCAACATCTTGTCTTCAAGCAATTTTTCTTCCCACTTATCTTCTCTCTTTTTTTCAAAGGACGCATGAGCTGCAGTGTGCTTGACTTGTTAAATGAGGTTTAAGTCGTCTGTGTCAATTGAAGGCGGTGCAAAACTTTAAGCATTTTGCACATTAACATGCTTTCGAGAGTATTACCCTGGGGGCTTGTTCGTTCTTTCACTTTCTCCCCCTCTCTCTCTTGCAGAGAGGGATGTTTCTGTGGTCTTGTTTTGTGTGTGTGTGAGAAAGAGCTGGCTGACTTCCTTGTCAGAGAAATAATGGTGATTATTCAGATTTCATGCCTTGTCTGTATGCTAATTATTTACTTCAAGCATGAAATGTGCGTGAATGCCAGGGAATTTTTGTACACAAACACGCTTCGCATAGCACGTAGGGGAAAAAGAGCGAGCGTGAGAGAAAATGGCAGAGCGAGAGGGCAGGCGCCGCGTATCAGCCTGTAGTGGAATAATTAATGCCCCGCTTTTGTTTACTGAGCCCTTGTTTTTTATTTAATTATGCCATGAGTAGAACCAGATTAGCTGTTAATTGATTTAATTATCCAATTTGTTTGTGGCAGGCATGATTCCAGCCGAACTGCAGCAGCTGTGGAAGGAGATGACAAACAGCCATGTGAAGGAGGAGAACAGCGCGACCAATAACGGTCACCGGGGTCTGGACCTGTCATCCCCCGTTCCCCCCAAAAACCACAACCAGCATGGATCCACCAACGGCCTGTACATCAGCCACTCGCTCAAGAGAGAGGGGTAAGACTGCTGAGACATTGAGCCACTGGAGGAGAAAAGTTTGTTCTTCACTTTTGATCGCTGGCTTTGGTATTTGGGCAAAATCTGAGCACAGTTTGAGACACTGTTGAAGACTAGAAGAGACACATGTGAGATGATTTTTAAATATTCAATTGTATTGACTTCTTGGAATCATTGAGGCATCATTACCCCTGTTGAAGGTGGATAAAAGCCAAATTGATGGACAGGTACCCACAGGGCATTTCCTGCATGTGAATATTAATTTATCGCTTCTAAGTACCTTGGCATTTTCATTAAGGACCGGGCCTGTCCGCTTAGTCTTGTTCATCAGGGAATTCCAGTTAAACACCTGAGAGAATGGCACTGTTAGAATGGTTAGATTACTGTAATGAAAATAAAAAATTTAATTATTTTTAATTATTATGGCAACTCCAACTTATATTAATTTTATTTTTCCAATAATTCATTTCATTTACTTATTTATGATATCCTAAACAAAACTTCAGAAATGTCATCAGAGCAATTATTCCTTAATTAACAATTCTGAATCAATGCACTTTGTGCGGCAGAATGTGCATAAAGAGCAGGTAATTCAGTACAGTTATATGTAACAGTTGCACAACACAGCACAGCTTTGCTAAACACTGTAAAGCCTCTTTAACGCTCTGACACAAAGATTTATTTGGAGGAAGCATTGCATCGCTCTGTCTTTAAGGAAGAGATTAATTTAGTTTATAACACATTTGCTTGTTTTCATGTGCTCAGGCCTGATTTTTGAACCGCTGGTGCGAAGCCTCCAGGCACTGTGAGCTCATTTATTTGTCTCTCTCTCTCTTTACATCTGACTTAGATTTGGCTGATCAAAACCAACATGTCATTATGAAAGCAATGCGAATGAAAACACATTTAGTGCTGCAAAACAAGCTCTAGCTGAAGGTAAAGGGAGAGTTCATGTATATGTGTAGCAACTTTTTCTACTAGTGTAGAGCAGAATAGAGTTCATGACAGGTTCAACATGTCAAGGGTTATTTAAACTAACCATGATGTCACTGATGCTGTGGGGTATAATAGGCACTCTCTTTCTTTCTTTCTTTCTTTTGTTCTTTCGTTCATTTGTGCCACTCAAACAGTTCATAAGAGGCTTGACTCACTATTGATTGTTAGTGTTGACGTTAACATGTACTTTGTAAAGTACTTTGTACTTTGAGCACAGAAAATCATTACACTCAATCCTGACTGAAAAATCTGTTTTCGTTTATACTGAATTAATTTGGTAACACTTTACTTGAAGGGGTGTGCATAAGACTGACATAGCACCTTCATAATCATGACATGACACACGTCATGAATATGAAGGAGGTTTTATGCATGTTTATGACAACCGTCATTAAGTGTCATTCACTCAGTTATGTCATTTTTAATGCAAATATGACATTATTTGACCTAACCCTACCCCTACCCTTGCCCCTAACCATAGCCCATAACAAAGACATCTCAAAAAATGTAAACTTTGCATTAAAAATGACATAACTGAGCGAATGACACTTAATGACAGTTATCATAAACATGCATAAAACCTCCTTCATATTCATGACATGTGCCATGTCATGATTATGAAGGTGCTATGTCAGTCTTATGCACACCCCTTCAAGTAAAGTGTAACCATTAATTTTATACATGTTTTGCTGTATTTATTGAAATACACGTTTATTAAGAATGTTTCTCTCCTTCATTTTGGATGGAGTTTCTATTAAGCTTGTAGTGATTCTTCATTTAGGAACACTTGATTTTTTAGATAATAAAAAGAAACTTGAGGGGAAGATGGGAGAATATGTAATTGAACCCTAGTAAAAAACCGAATACATTTATTTCATACTAAGTATAGTTCAAGTCCATTAACATATTTACTGACATATTGCTAGAGACTTACTGATATAAAAATTCTAATGAAACTTTATTTGGAGTGTACTACTTATATATTGCACAATATATATTTCTTAATATTAAGCCTAAAATGTGATTTAGTGTCACTATTGATGAGGATTGTATGATCTTTGAATAATATCGGTCTTTAAATGCAAGATATTTAAAGTGTACCTAAAGTATACTTGCAGTAGTACTACTTTAGCACTAATTTCATACAATTAAAGTGCATTAAGTACAAAGTTAGTTGTTCAAATTTAGCAGACTTTAAGTATACCAGTTTAGTACAGTACAATTGCAGGGTATTTTTAAGTACATACATTTGTAAATGTATTTGTAGTATAATTAGCATGAAATAAATGTATTTCAAATACATTTTAGTATATTTATTTTTACTATGGGAAGAGACACAGTAAAAGGTTGAAAGCTGTTCCAATCTACTCTTTAAAACTAGAATGATTGTTTGCTTTTGCTTTGAAATCATACTGGTGGATAGAAAGGTTCCCCTAATTGAATAATCACCCAATTATGCTGTCTAGGTAGGGAGCTCACTAGTTTTTTAATCAGAGCCACTCTATTCTATTTCTCTAGCTCTTTTTCTCCCTCTCTCCCCTGAATTGTAAGTCTATCACCCCATTTCCTCAAAGTGCATAAACAACTAGTACTCCATCACAACACCATAACTCTTTTATGCCATAGTAGGCTTGAAACACTCAGAAAGACATGTTGGAAAACTAACTGCTTCGCTCCCTGCCTCTCGCTCTGTGTCAGAGATTAAAGAAGACGTCAACAGCAGTTTAGCACCCATGCCGTGAAGAAGGCGTTTTGTTGACTGAGGATCTCAGATCTGTCAGAAAAAGGGAGCAGGTGATCACCCCTCTCTCATCCATCCGTTAGCTGAGGAATTAGTGCTGGAAATGCATCCAAATCATTACTATTCACATGCAAAAGCACATTAGAGAGACAGTGCTAATAACATGGCGCTTTGATGATTTTCTGTGTTGCATTAATATCCGTGTTCTTTTATTAGCAAACACATGCTCCATCACTACACCTTACAGGGCATCCAAGAAAATTTAACACATTTTTAATCTGTAGAAGCTTCGTTGCTTGGAATCCAAGGTTTTGAGTGGAAGAAATGAAATGTCATCATTGCACACAAACGTTAATGAACTTTTAATTGATGCGGTTTTCCCAAGTCCCTCTTGTCGTGAAACACGCGGGCGGCTGTGCACTGATGGACTCTGCCCTAGCTCTCTCAGATTGGTTTACCACCGGGGTCTTAAGCACCGTGCAGGCCGTTTCATGTGTCATATAAAATCTGGCCAGTCGCTGCGACGCCTGCAACTAAAACCTTAAGTGCATCCAGCGGCATCATTCACTGTCTTTTCACTTCCGTCTTAAAGGAAGGAGAGAGAAACTCAATCACTTCGTGCATGTTTAGACACGATGCTTCCCTGCTTTTAGCAGCCTCCATCGGCTCCCACTGGTGCCTGCACAGAGACAACTAACACATGCACACCCAAATATGATAAAAGCCTTCGACGTGTCAGTCCACCCGACCCATCGGTGCTCAGATAAGGGACAAAAAGCACTCATGAACCTGTGTGAACCTTTCTAAGGTGATTGGAAATTAGGTGTGTGCTATCTGACCAAAGCCCAACAGGAAATGATTACCTCATTTATTTATTTTTATTTTTTTCAGGGTCTGGGACGGGTTTAAAAAATATACAGATGGCTTCCATTTCAGCATTTTCAGTTCTCTTCATTGGAGGGGAAAGAGTGTCAGTCTGTTTGAGTCGCCCCACTTCATTCTCCTCCCAGAATCATTTAGGAATGCTGCACTCAGGGGAATTAAAACCCAGACAATTTGTTTTAAAGAGATAAATAATCAGATTTGCCCCCCTAAACGAGCCCCTTAACCTCCCTTTTAATTGATCTTCAACTCTGCAAATGATAATTAAAACATTGGGGGGTTGAGAGGGGACGTTTGGTTGGGCATACTGTAGAGGATTGAGTCAGGGGTCCGGGGATTTGCCAGTAGACTTAGAGGAGGTGTGTGTCTTTGATGATTTCTCCGCACATGAAGACGTGAGTTAGAGTAATAGTGTTGTGACAAAGTGCTCAGTTACTGTCTGAGCTCTCCAGACGTCAGACCTCTCTCCTTCTTCGTTAGGTTGGCTACGATGATACTTTGCTCAGTGCATGATAGTACGATCCTAAACCATAATGTAATGAAAGATGATAGGACAGAGCCGAGCTGCCTCACAGGAAAGCATTTAGGCTGGTGCTGTAAGAGCCGATGAAGGATATAAATGCACATGTGGTGGTGTTTTTGATGTGCTGGGACTTTTTTAAATTATTTATTTATTGCCTCTTTTTACTTTTAACCTTGAATGCAAAGCAGATGGCACCTTTTTGCTTGTTAAACTACAATTTAAGTTTACATTAAAGTCAGTCTGTCTTGTGTTTGTCTTATTTTTAAATAAAGAACTGGAAAAGTTACCACACTTACGCACTTCAACAGACAGACAAGATCACTGACAAGCTTTGACTCTTTGTATTTGTTGTTTTTTTTGTACGGAATGAATGAGGTCAGTATAGAAAGAAAACCTATGGTGTCTGTCAGTCTTCTTCTGAGCTGTCATTTAAAACCGTTTAGTCATCCATTGTTCAAAATGAGCTTTGTTTCCTGAATCACAAGCCTTTAAGCTTTTCAAAACTCAACTCATATTTATTTATCTATTGCCTAGATCATCTTGGAATTAATTAAAACAAGTAATGGTGCACGACATGTTTCTTGTTTAAAAGGAAACAGTAAGAGATTCAACATATATTTTTTTATTAAAAATGAAAATGGTTGCCTTAATATGTTCATACATATGTTTATTTAGTTTATTTTAGCTTTTAATAGATTTTTTTGGCACATCTTAATATTTTACATCAGAAAATATAACTGTTATAAGATTATTGTCTTGAAATTGGCATGTTTTGTCTTTTTTTCTATTTCATTGCATTGATCAAACATGTTTCACACCTATTTTGTTAAGTGTGTGTGTGTGTGTGTGTGTGTGTGTGTGTGATGTGTTTATTGTATAAAAAACATAATCTGCTTTTTTTGTTAAATCCTTATAATTGCAGCTATTGAGAGTTTTCTGTCTGAATAGGTCTAAGATTTATGTTATATTAATTCAGCTATATATTAAATTTAACAAATGCCACTACATTTCCTTCTGCAGATAAAACAACACTTCTGAAATTGAGAGAAAAAAAATAGGTGGATCTTCGCTGCTAAGCTTTCTTGTGCCTGCGGTGTAGTTCATATGAAAGCATGCTGCACTGAGCTGTTGACGACCCTGTGCAAGTGAATAAATTGATAACAGGTGGGGTGTGTTTACTGTTTGCGCTTGGCGGGAGCAGGCCAGATGGATTTGGGAGCTTCCTGTTGTGGGAAACACTTGTTGCTCCAGGTGGATGGCAGGGACCACGGTTCAGTGCTCAGGGCTAAAGGACGTGCTGTCTCTCAGAGCCTCGTGCTGCCCTGATCAAAGCATTCCTCTGTGCGCATCAGAGGAGACCCATAATTGGCTATTGATTGGCCAGCACCGGGACGCTCAGAGGCTGCAATAGGCTGACAACTCCAGCTATGCTGAAAGCAGAGATCACATGGTTGCGCTGATCACACACTTCCTGTAGAAGTCAGTGGTCATGTGAGTGTCAGTGCTGTGTCAATAAAACAACAAGCTGCAAAGTTTTTTTGTGCTGAAGGGGAAGGTTTCTTTATTAGTTGTAATATTTTAGTGGATAAGTCATTAATATTTCATTAAGTAGTATTATGGAGATGAATTACTCTTTAGCCTCTTTCATAAAAGTCCAATGATGCGTGAATATGTTGTGTATCAAATATTAGCAGCCTTGATATCACACTAATGTGTCTTTTCTTCTTGTAGATCAACGTTGGATGATCATTCTCCTCACAGTCACCCTCTCTATGGTCACGGAGTCTGCAAATGGCCAGGATGTGAAGCCGTGTTTGAAGACTTTCATTCATTCCTGAAGTAAGCATCTCACACACACACCCACACCTGTAATTAAAAAAAAGGAATTTTCATTTGGAAATATTCTTTTGGAATTGTATATGGAATTACAATTTGGAACCAATTTTAAAGGATGCTAATTGGATTTTTTTTTTCTTATATAGGATTCTAACTAAAGCTAAAGCTTATACATGCAAGAACATACAGTTCCCCTGTTAAACTATTAAGATTACCAGCAGGATAAAATTAAAATTGGGACTAAGAACTAATGTGTTCTCAAGGATCCTACTCTTTTAATTTTAAATTAGAATCTTTTTTGTTTGTGTTATGTTGGAATCCTATGAGAACATTTTGGATCCATTGGGATTATTTCTAAATCATACTGCAAGTCCATATAAAATTCCACATGGAATCCTGTGCACATTTCTGGTCTTATAAAAAATCAACCTAGTGTCCCGTTACAGTATTTTTTCATTCCCTTTCCTGGTTTTTTTCCTCTCTCTGTGTGGGCTGGGTTCTTGACGTGGGTGTGTGGTGTGCTGCTCTTTGCCTGCTCTCTGTGGTGTGGTTTTCCTCAGGGTTCTGTGCTGCCTGCGATAACTGCAGTCCCCATGGTGATTACTGACACTTTGTCCCAAAACAAACACGTGGGTATGTTTATCTACGGTGGCCCACATTCTGAGAGTACAGCGGGTTTGCCCTTGTCTGCCTTTTTACAGACAAGAAGAAGTGATCTTCTAGTTCTTTCCCTCTCTCTCTGTCTGAGTCTCTCTCTCTTCTTGCTTTTAGAAACATATCGTTGGTGCTTGCTATTACTATTGCTCATATTGAAGGTTTAGGCATTTGAACACACTTTTTGACATGGGCTAGTAAGCATCCATCAAACAAAAGCCCAGAACCCCCTAGCAGCCACATATCAACACCCAGAAACCACCCGCAACATACAGAAATTGTGGGAATGAGTTGTGCCAATCACTCATCTAAATTACTTATCACATACGTTTCACATTTTAAATT